TTAAATTATTATTATATATAATAATAATAATAATTTAAATATACAGGAAATCCTCATCAGTGTGAAATTCAAGGAACAAAATAATCACAACTTCAAAGTATCAAGTTTCAAATTATCCAAAATTTACATATTTCTGTACAAAGTGCCAAATGCCATATAATTGATGTAATTTATTAAGAAAATGGAATACAGCTATGTATACAGAATGCTACTTTTGTCAATCAATAATTATTAATAATGTTATAAGTACTGTATAATTCAACATTAACAATGCATATTGTAGAACTGTACCGTGCAGACTTAGTATGATATCTGTCTTTTCTTCATCAGGTTGAAGAATTCTAAAATGGAATGAAAGAAAAGAACATTGTGGTGTATCCCACCATGTATATGTATATTTTATATGTATATGTATATGATTTCCTATTCTAACTAAAATAACCTGCACTATTTTTCCTTTTCTGTCTCTTCCGGCCCACTTGCGCTTCCTGGCTAGTTTTGGGCGAAAAAAAAGGGAAGTGAACCGGCCGGGCAGCGTGGGAGGACGGGACCTTCTTTGTTTCATTCTGTGAGAAGCGAGCGAGTTGAGACGACGTGAGAAGGACGAAGGAAGGAGCCCATGCGGTTAGTGAGCGCACGTTGGAAGCTTGCCTAATCGGTCTTGCAGCTAAGGGGAATTTACTTATACTTTAATATCTCTATTCTCATCTACTAACCTCTATTTATTAGTTATACCTTAGTTTTATTTAATTATAAGTGATATTATAACGCGGTATCGAAACTCGCACGTGCGATCGGGTGTAAGCTCTTTGTAATAAGAAAATAACGGGAATGATTTTATGTATCACGGACAGGCTCGAGAATTTGTATAAAAATTAGGTTGTGAATAAATTACTTCGCCGATATTTAGTGAATTTCGTATTAATTCGTGGTGTAGTATTGTATTTTACGGTTTTCATTAACCCGTCACACCACATAATTGGCGTCCGCGACAGGATACGAGTATACTCTTGTATGTACTGCTGTACAAGTGGGAATTGTTACCCGTGATTATTATAAAAAAAAAAAAAGGTGTAACGTGTATAATTGTAATTTTAACGTATTTGTAATTCCAACATGGAGGAACAAAGAACGTCTAGCGAACAGCCTTCCAGCAGCCATCAAGAAGCCCCGATTGTCTCTGGGTTTTTGGGGATGATCCCCTTCTTTTCGGCCGAAAGGGAATCAATTAGCATCGCTCAATTCTTTAATTGTTTTGAGCAAGTCGCTAGTTTAGCGAAATGGGATCAAATAACAAAACTCGTAACATTAAGAGCCAGAATAAAGGGTAGACCGCTCACCTACCTATTCGAAAGTGAATCCTTTCATGGATCAGACTTTGAAAAAATTAAAGAAGACCTCATCGAACGCTTCTCCCCACAAATAAGCAATACAAATGCCGCTCTAGAGAGCTTCATTCGAATAGAACAGAGAAAGGGAGAACCGATCAGAAGCTATACCTTTAGACTGAAGTCCGCAATGGAGACCCTAGAAAAGAGTTCCCCTATGTATAAGGATATAAAGGGAAATATGTTAAAGGATCAGTTTTTGCAAGGATTAGTGCCCCACATTCAAAAGGAAGTCATCCGCACTGATCCTCAAACATTAGAAGAAGCCGTTGAGCTAGCTGAGAGAATAGTCAAACAAAGAGATAGATATTCGAAACGGAGTGAGATTAACTCTTCGGAAATTGAGGAAGAACCTCAAGAATACAAAGTCAATAGTGCTAGTAGTAATAGAGATGAACCCCGACAAGCGGAAATGAAACAGATGAGAGCAGACATCGAAAAACTAACGGTTGCAATCGATGCTTTAAAAACTCAGATTGAAGCAAATAATGGAGAGAGAAGGGCGGGGCCCAGATGTTATAGATGTAATTTACTAGGCCATATATCTAGAAATTGTAAATGGCAAGGAGGTTTAAACTAGAAAACCCCAATGATGATGGCCAGGATCAACGGGGTATATGCCAAGTAAAAATGGCCAGTAGTTTAATGAAAGGTCGTGGTGGGCTGCCCTTGTGTAAAGCAAAGGTCAATAATCAAACAGTGAATTTTCTCATCGATACTGGAGCCGAACGGTCTGTAATCGATGAAGAATTGGTGAAGGGAATAAAAGATGCGGGTGCACTAACCCATCGCATTAACGTATTATTGAAAGGAATAAACGGCACATCAACCCTCTGCTCGACGGGAATTGAACTGACCATGATTAACTCTGAAGGAAGGAAAGTAAACCACAATTTCATTGTTCATTACATCGAACCCACGAGGGAATATCGTGGGGTATTAGGAATTGATTTCTTTTCGAAGGATATATCAATCATAAGGAAATTAGATGATATCGTACAAAATTGTATAAGACATGCTCCCATGGGACAGGAAATTGCCCTATCATGTAATGAAGTAATGAATGATAGCCTACTAGACAAAGTGGACCTTTCCGATGTATCTAGCCCATGGAAAGAGGAAATAAGGAGCATGATTATCAAACACAGAGCATGCTTCTCATTACATGTGAGCGACTTAAACGGAACCTCGAAATTCACTCACCAGTTCAAAATCACTGATGACAGGCCTATACACACCCGACAATATAGGATCCCACATATCCTATTACCTAAACTAAAGCAAAAAATTGACGATTACAAGAAGGCCGGCATAATTGAAAACAGTACCTCCCCCTGGAATTCCCCAATTCACCTAGTGCAAAAGGACGATGGAGACGTTCGACTAACTCTGGATTTACGGAAAGTCAATGAGGTCATAGTCAGCCAAGACTTTCCAATGGCCAGAGTAGACGACATTCTAAACCAATTTCAGGGCAGTATCATATTCTCCGTATTGGACCTTAGCTCAGGATATTACCAGATCCCGATCGATAAGGAGCTGAGAGAAATCTTTGCATTTACCACCCCCTCAGGCAAATACCAACTCTGCCGTATGCCGCAAGGAGGGAAAAATAGCGGGCGCTATTTCCAAAAGGTCATGAACACCATCTTGTCTGACATAATCGGAAACGGATGTTACGTCTTCCAGGACGACATCGTACTTTACTCGAAAACAGAACGGGAGCACCTCGAACTCCTAGGCAACGTCATCCGCCGAATAGAAGAACATGAGCTAAAATTAAAGCCCGAGAAATGTCACTTATTTGTGAAGGAGATAAAATACCTTGGACACATTATTAACTCAAGAGGTATCTCACCTGATCCGAAGAATGTCGAAGCGATAAAACAGATAAAACCACCGAACAACGTGAAGGAAGTGAGGAGGTTCATAGGAATGGTAAATTATTACCGTCCTTTTATGAAAGGTCTATCTGGCCTAATAAATCGCATATCAAACCTGACTAGGAAAGGAGTGGAATTTGCTTGGACAGAGGAACATGAATCCGATTTCAAAAAGATAAAGACTATAATTTCCGGGGCACCGACGCTGGGGCATCCTGACTTTGACGCTGAGTTTCAGCTGTATACAGATGCAAGTGACAACTGCATTGGTGCAACCCTACAACAAGAAGGTCCGAGCCGGGAGGTAAGACCGATTGGGTTCTACAGTCGGAGATTAAGTGGAAGTGAGTTGAACTATTCAACCATTGAGAAGGAGTGCATGGCACTGGTCTTTGCACTGAGGCACTTCCGCTACCTTATCCTCGGAAGGCCAATAAAGATCTTCTCCGACCACCGCCCGTTGATGTTCTTGAAGAACATGCAAAATAACAACCGGCGTCTAATGAGATGGGCCCTGGAGGTCTCTGAATATGATTGCAAAATAGGTCATGTCCGAGGAGTTGACAACGTTGTCGCCGACTACCTATCAAGACCTGAGGACGGAAGTATTGACGTGGCTAACAACGAATGTGAAAGCATACGTAGTACTATAATCCTATCACAAGAGACAGACCCAGTCTTTGGACCCATAAAACGTACCATACAGGGAAACAGAAAAAGTGGCGACAACCCATCCCTCTCTATTACGGACTTCGATATAATTGATGGCTCCCTCTTCTTTGTGGGAGACGATGAAAACGATAGATCCCGCTTCAAAGAATGCGTCGGGGAGAATGCAATTAGAAAGGTCATTAGCCTCTATCATGATAGCCATTTAGCAGGACATGGGGGGATATTCAAAACCCACCAGAACGTCCAAAGAAAATATTATTTCAGGAGAATGTGGGAGAAGGTAAAAGAATACATCCAGTCCTGTACCGTCTGTCAGAAATACAATAAACATAATGGAAAGGCACCAGTGCAGGAATTTAATAAGATTTGCCGACCAATGCAAGTAGTAGGGATGGATCTAATCGGACCCCTACCTAAATCCGATCTCGGGAACAGATACATCCTTGTCGTGTTAGACCTCTTCTCGAGATACGCTGAGGCCATCCCCATCCCAAAACAAACCTCCGAAGTGATTGCTGAGGCTCTATTTGATCATGTCATCTGCCGATTCGGTTGCCCGCAGACCTTAATATCTGACAGAGGAGCGAACCTGACCAGTCGCATTATGGAAGAATTATGTGCCAATTTGAGGATAAATAAGAAAGTAACAACATCATACAGGCCCACATCGAATGGTGCTGTGGAAAGGGCCAATAAGACTATCATAAACATAATATCTAAGATCTCTGATGGCAACAATCGAAGTTGGGATAAGTACATACCAGCTGCGATGTTCGCCTACAGAAATAGCGTGAACTCCTCGACAAAAGACTCACCAAACTTTATCATGTATGGGTTCGACCCGACTTTCCCACATGAAGTAAACATCGAGACACCATCCGGGGGAGGCGAAAGCATTGAGTCATACCGTGAACGGCTTGTGGAGAGGATGCGTGTGGTGTATGACTCTGCTAAAAGAATTAGTGAGGAAAGAAAACGTAAATCACGCGAATACTGGAATAAAAATAGGAATTTAAGGAAGTTCACAGTAGGTCAAAGGGTCTGGTTATTAAGACCCCTTTGCGACCCAAAAAAAAGGAAGTTCTCCCCTAAATACATGGGTCCATATCGTATAACTAAAGTGATTAACGACGTTAATGTGAAATTGGGAGTAGGGAACAATGACGATGAGAAAACCGTCCATATAGATCGAATCAAACCCTACTTCAGGCCTCAGCCTGATAGTAGTAAACGTCGTGTAAGCACGAGAAAAACATCCCCAACACAGATGGACTACAGATTAACAACAAATGATGAAGGTGAGGAAGACTGCGAAATTGATCCTCGCACAATCCCAATCACCAGAGACAATCAGAAGGGGTACCAGAGACCAACTGGGCCACAACCTGATGTACTTAGAAGACAACCGGAAGCGGATCAGCTGGAGGTCTCCAAGCCTTACAACCTGAGAGGTCGACGCATAGACTATCACCTCTTGCACCACGGACATTAATGTTTTGTCAGCATTACCTAATTACTTGCGGTGGGGGATAATGTGGTGTATCCCACCATGTATATGTATATTTTATATGTATATGTATATGATTTCCTATTCTAACTAAAATAACCTGCACTATTTTTCCTTTTCTGTCTCTTCCGGCCCACTTGCGCTTCCTGGCTAGTTTNAATGTACAGTAAGGGCACAAAGTGTGAGATTCATAGAAAAGTTTTCCTAAGAATATTTCCAATCCTTTTCTCACACAAGAGAAAATGAGTTAGGGGCGTTGGGTATAACTTTATGGAACAAAGGGGGCGGTGGAGCGAAAAAGTTTGAGAATCACTGCATTAGATGAATTTGTATCTGAAATTTTGGTTCACTTATTCAATAATAAAATCTATTAATTTCAAGTTTTAATTTATGTAATAGTATAGAAACTACCACTGTCAAGACAGTTAGATAATAATCAATTTGCAAAAGATAATGCACAAAACATTGCTTTGGATGATATATATCAATAGCAATACTGAAAATACCTCTCTGAACATTAAAAAGAGAAAAATTGTTATGAAAGAATAGAACAACAAAAACTCTTACAATATGTAACAATATGTAAAAAAATATGAAAATGGTGGTATGAGTAATCAATGGAATTATTATGATTCTAATGTGGGAATTTATTTTCTGACATTCTCTTCCATTTCTGTATTTTGTTATGATTTGAATATGTAATATTTGATGAATTTTTCTCATAAAAAATATTTTAAATCATTACAACAATTACATACTATATAAATTTTATTTTATTTACCTGATTTGGAGCAATATCAAACCATAGATCTGCTTGTTCGTTTTCTTCCATATAACGTAAATGACGCTATATATNAACGCGACACGTAAACAAGTGAATATGACCTACTTCCGCTCGCCTTTCGAGTTCGCTCGATGGGTCTAACTCGAGACTACCGATTATGTGAGTCACAGTAACACGAGTGAGTTTGATGACATCAATTCGAGTACAACACGAAAATCTCGAGACTAAGGGCCCAGAAAGCATTCCCTTGGCAGATCACCCACATGTTGGGCTGCCATAACCAAATAAACTAGTAATTCTATTAATTTTTCTATAAACATGCTATTTATGAGGACATACATACCACATAGTTTATAGGTATTTTGATTATGTTCTTAAAATTGGTTTTACCATATATATTTTTGAAATTTACAATTAATTATGCTTGGTGTAATAATTATTGCAACGGTACTGTACTTATAAAACCAGGCATAGCCATATGTAATAAGATAATTTATTTATGAATCCTGTTTGAGAGATACTACAGATTTTATCTATACATTTTTAAAAGCCTTTAATTTAATTAGTTTCAACAATTAAAAACTAATATCTGCTAGATTACAATTAAGTCATATATCATTTATGCAAGTCAGTGTATTTTTACTGTTTCAATGAGTAAAAAATTAGATTCTCTTTTTATACACAGTTATTGGGAAATATAATAGTTATGAGGAAATTCATTTCCAATAACCATATGAAAGAGATTTGCACAGTTTTTGTAAAATATTTGCTTCATATGAACAGTAGTGGCTTGTGGCTGTCTAATGTGAGGATACTGTGTAACTACTACCAGAGCTGAAGCTGAAATTTCAAAAAACTATAGACATAAATTCTCACTGTTGTCTGCCTACCTGTCCTCCTTTAAACTCAAGAACAGTGTTAGATGAAAGTTGAGACCAGATGTGGAAAGCTTAGGGTAGGAGGCCCAAATTAACTATATATGCACTTCCATTATAGTCAAATGAATTCAATTTCAAAACTTTTTTCCTGAATGGCATTATGGATAACCAGCATGGCTCTGTTATCTGGAAAAGGGGCAAGATTACTCGTTTGAGATAGAGAACATATTTTAAATTAAATAAATTAAGAATATGATTAAAAATTGCATCCCAGCATTGTGACGTGAACTTCCTGTCTAGAACGGAAGTTACGTGATTTTAAAATTAAAACATGATAAAAATTTGCAGCATTGTGAAGATGTCACAATAAATAATTGTATTAATTTGTTACATAAATTAACAGTCGACCACCCTATAACACGGGTTCCTATAGATTGGATTCCTATATTGCGACAGTATTTGTACAAACATGCTAAAAAAAACTCCTATAATTCGGTAAAACGTCATCGCCAACTTGTGTCGCGACAGGATTGCACAAACCGTTGAGTTTAAACGAGTAGTGGACTTACTAAAAACCATTTATTATTTAATGTCCATAAAAATTATATTTATATTAATGATGTGTCCAAAGTTCAGCAAATTTTTTGCAAAAAAAAAATAATTTATCGGGAAGCACGTGAGTGCCATTCAATGACAATCTCCACGACGAAAACAAGTTAAACTGCCTGTTAAACTACCCCTACTTATCGGTATCGACAGAAATGGTCAACCCCCCATCTAGTTCGATAGACTCCAGAATGAGCGAGGCGAACAACTATTAGAATTTATTTACGATATAGATTTAAATATTCATAACTCTGGAGACATTCCAACTTTCAGCACACACCAGGGCAAAAGTTTTATCGATCTCACACTTACGAAAGGTAACATTGGTAACTCTATTCAAAATTGGCAAGTCCTACTAGAAGAAATCTTCTCTGGACATAGATATATAACTTTTGAACTAATGCTATGCCCTCTTTCGTCTCCTCCGACCAGAGAATACAAAATTGTAACATTAAAAAAGCAAATTGGGACATGTTTGGAAAATTATTCACTGAAGAAACTTCAGCCCTAAATTCTCTAATAAATCAAGATGCTCCCATGGACGATATAGTCCAAAAATTTACTAGCATAATTCAAAATTCCGCAAGTAACTCAATCCCCCTTAAAAAAGCATACAAAAGAATAGTTCCCTGGTGGTCTGACACTTTGACTGTCTCCAGGCTTCAAGTTAATAGATTAAGATGCAAATTCTGATGAACCAATGGGCCAGATCATAAAGACTCTCGCGAGCAATACCTAAGAACTAGAAGGAAATATCAAAAATTAATAAAAGTATCCAAAACTGAGTCATGGAAGAAATTTTGCACGATAGAAGGCAATTCCTCCCCTTGGAGCCACATATATAAATTACTAAGAAAAGACTTCTCAACCCGCACAACAAAATTATCCATAAAAAATTCCACAGTCAAAACTTTATACGATGATAAAGAAGTAGCCACCTTGTTATAAATACTTTCTTTCTCTTGGATAATCCGTCTTCTGACACCCCCATCATATGCAGATATGAGCAAATATCAAAACTCCTTACTCCAAGGAAAACTATTTGCCTTTCAATATTTCTGAAATTAGACAAGTTGTTTCGGCCAAACTCAATAAGAAATCCCCTGGCCACAACGGGTTAAATGCAGAAATTGTTAAAAATGCTTTTAACTTAGACCCCAATATCCTCTCCCAAATCTATAACCGCTGCCTGTCTTCCGGATGTTTTCCGGCGACCTGGAGACATGCTGTTGTCCGGCTCATCCTTAAGCCAGGAAAGCAATTAGATGCTGATAAGTCTATTACCCATACTAGGAAAAATTTTAGAGAAATTAATGATAAGTAGAATAACCACTTAACAAAAAAAAAGTATCTGTGCAACAAACAGTTTGGCTTTACTCCTTAATAAAGTATGACGGAACCCCTAATAAGAGTTAGAGACCACGTGAAGGATGCTCTAGACCAGGGGTCGGCAACCTGCGGCTCGCGAGCCACATGTGGCTCTTTGGATGTGAAGCTGTAGCTCTTTAGTTTCATAAGCAAATATTATTTATTTTGTCAAAAACAAAAACATTTAAAAATCGTTCTGAATCGATTAACGAGGATTAAGCACCGATTCTATCTCTCAGCTACTTGTACTCGCTTTTCACCGCACCTCTCCCCCGTGACACGCGTCGTCACTGTCGTCAGTCTGTCGGAAGCTTTCGAATGATGCCGTCGTCGTATGTTTCTATGAGGTTTAACTCGCTTTCGACACAAGACAATTTGGCGTCTTCACCAGTGCTTTGGCTATGACGTATAGTTTGTTGTTTCGAGTAAAAGAGTTAGAAGCGAATTATCTTCTCAAAGTTATGTAAAAATTTTGTGGCTCTTTAAAAACTTTGAAATTTTGTAAATTGTAATTTTTGGCTCTTCCGACTCAAAAGGTTGGCAACCCCTGCTCTAGACCAGTGTTTCTCAATGGGGGGCGATATTGCCCCATGTGGGCGTTTCTCCATGTTGAGGGGGCAATTAGTAACAATTTATATTTTGGGAGCGAAAAACAATTTTCTGCAATTGTGATATGTCGGTTCCCAATACAATATCTCATATCATATTTGAATGTAGCCTGTTTGATCAATGCCGGAAAAGGCTCGTTTTCTTTCTTCGTGAACACGTTATGGCCTGGCCGGTTCTGCTTAGCTGCCTTGTAGCAGATGAGAAAATCTTCGCTGTAACAAAAAAATGCTTTGAGCAATGTGAAGCACTCTACGGTCCAAATTAACTTCTTTGTGCTGGCCACCGCTAATATGAGCGCTATTGCGTATATAAAATGTGTGTGGATAAAAGTGGCAAAGAATCGCAGTAGTGTCAACCTTGGGGATGAAAGTATGGGTGAGACAACCAGTGGTGTCACAGTAGGCTCACCTACGCTTTCATCTGGTGGTACAAAAAAAATTAGCAAACTTCAGTATGTTAAAACTGGGGACAATAATATAGCTTTGAAAGGAATTGGAGCANACAAGAGCTTTTAAAAAACGTCATATGTTCCTTTCTCGCATTCTTTTTTAGAATGCGAGAAAGGAACATAATGCGAGAACTCTCCTATCTGATGAAGATCTATGCAGATTGAAACATTAGCCTGTCTTTTCATTGAGCATGTAGTGGCGTCTTTTGTACCTCACTGGACAAAAGAAAGTGTCAAGTGTGGACTACTTCACTGTCTGTTTGTATTATTATGATATGCAAAGTGCACAGCTTCTCAAGGATAAGACAAATATCCTTGCTACATTCATGGCATTATCTTCAAGCATCATGTCATTTGTGGACAGAGCTGCAAAAATAGCCTTGCAAGTGACAGGATTTCAGGGTGGTGCCACATGTTGTTGTGAATAAGACAATGAGGCATGTCTAGCTGTGGCGACAGCTTTGGCGATAAACCCCAAAGTCGCCACAAGGGGGAACCCCTGACCTGACCTATGACATCACACACATTCTTGTTGGATTTGGACCTCTCCAGACGTGTGTAGTAACACCTCGTGTTTTAACCTGTACAGTCGCGCCATAATTCATATATAGAATAAATGATAATCTTTTATTGTATGTGGCCCTGTTTGTAATGATTAATTTCACACAAACTGGTGACCACACTAGCATTTGCACTGGTACTATAGCTGCTCCGGGTTTAATATTGTCTTATTGAAGTTGATGTCATTGGTTTTTGCAATATCATTATCCATACTCACATAATCTGGGATATTCATAATGTAGTTGATGTTTTCTGTTAAGGCTTCCCATTCAGATGGAACTTCAATCTTTGTTTTGCTGGCTGTTTTCAATGTCACCAACATTTGTACATCATTGAACAAAACCTGATTTTTCAAAACAGTTTCTAATGCTTTTAGCCATAATTTCTTGCCAGGAGGCCACAACATTCTGCAGTGCATCCAAGACATTCTATTTTATTATTTCTTCAGAGACATAACTTTGAGAAATCTCTCCAAGCATATATCTCACCAAATGATTCCCACACCTTTCAGTTGTGAAATTGTGCCTTGATCTAAGACAGAGGTCACCAAACTACGGCCCATGAGGTCATCCTTTTAGCTCATTTATATGGAA